CTCGCCGGGAGGAACGCGGCTTGGCGCTGTTCGCACAGCTGCAGCTCTGGGATGTGAAACATCCCGGAGATGTTGCTTCCCGTGTGTACAGCCAACTCTTAGCACGGCCGCTAAGGTTGGAGAGTGCAAAAACAACACGAAGTTGCTCGGTCGAGATCAGAGCCGCGTCCATCGCGAGCTCTACTTCTCGGACCTAGAAGTGAAGGTTCTCGCCTTCCTTCTCTTCATACGGCTTAACCTTCAGCCGTATTGGCTTCGGGTGAGGCGGATTTGCTTCCGCCGCCGGAGCCTGCAGGTTTTCCCGCACATGCGCGATGAGGCCCTGCTCGTACGCGTCGCACGCATTGACGCGCTCGAGCTGCTCAGCCGGTGTTGACACCACCAGGCTCTGCAAGGCCTCCATCCCGAAGTTGCCTGTCATCTTCCAAACCGATTCGAACTGAGAGTCGTTCATATGGGAGAAGTCGTTCCTATCCATGGCAACGAACTTCGGAGAGGTTCAGGTAGTCTACCCGCGATGGCGTGGATTGACTACAAGTGCTACCAAGTGTGACGGGGTCACACAGCACCTTGCGCTAGAGGAAGTTATCTTCCGAGAGTATGGAGACTCCCAGTGAACGGCAGGTCACAGGTCCCCTCTTTATTTAAAGAGAGCGAAGTGACCTAAATAAGGTAGATTGTAAACTGAGTATATTTTTAGGTAGGTTAAGTTTGGGTTTAATACGAACTATAAGTTACCTATAGAAATGCAATGTCGTTTGACCAATGGTTGGCTTGAACGACCTTGGTACCTTGTACCAAATATCCCGGAGTATGACGTGTCATACACCTGAAGTGTGAAGTGTCACACTTCATGTAAACCAGGGTACACTTAGGGCTACGTACCCCGTTACATTTCCAGTTTCACAAATGTGTTGTGCGTGGCGGTTTAGTAGCCTCCTTGACTTAATTAAAGTATACATTTGTTCACGAGAAATGTGCGGTACAGGTGCCAGGCATGTTGGGAAACAGATATCTTCAACATCATAAAGATGAAAGTGTATGACATAAATTGGTTTATTTGTTTGTACAGGCCCACTTGACCCAGGCTTCCTGTTGAGGTTGAATCTACGCCTCTAACAAGGGCGGCAGTGCCTGAACTGCCATTTTGGTTTTGTCCTACAGGTTTTTTACTTCGCGAAGGCTTCGTCTTCCGCACTTCAGTATCGTTCTCAAGTCTTTCACGAGTAAGTATCTATTCAGCTTTCTTGTATTGCTCAATCGTGGTGCAACAAGCACATAAATCGCTCGGTGCACAATATCACAGATGACGAACGCTGTATATCAGTAAGATCGAGGCAAACCATTAGCTTAAAGTTAACTAACTTGGTGTGCATGTTAGGTCATGAAAGCGGTAAATACCACAGCTGCGAAATGAAGCGCTGCAACCACTCCTCACCTACACTTACACCACACACGAGCTCAGCAATCTGCTGTGACTTGTGCAGGACATATTGCCATCCGACAGGACGGTCAGTCACCTGTCGCTGATGGATCAGTCTCTAATGCCATTTTCGGCACTCTTCGAAAGCATTGGAGGCGGCCCGTGGCGCTTGGGCTCGTGAGGATTGTTTCTGCGTGCAGTAGTCACGTATTTCTTCAGTGTTCTATGCGGTATTCTCGGTTATTTAACTGTTGCCTTTAGCTCTGCGCCGACGAGAATGGCTTGTACGGCACAATGGAGCTCTGCTTCGCTCTACTTACTTGGCGCGTATTTTCCGCACGGTGGAGAAGCGAAAGTGAGGCCAGAGTACAGTATAAACTGCTGGAGGAGACCAGATGAAAGCTCGCTAGCTTAATATTAGCCAGTTATGATCGTTGACAGTGATCTAGCTTAATATAACAGGCTAAAACAATCGAGGCTACTTAACTGGTCGAGGCTACGAAACTGACAGCTTGCCTTAAGCTACGAGACCATACAAAAAAATAGTGTGAGCTCGTAAACATCGAAAGTTTCCCAACTGAACCGACTATCTATAGACCAGCTCAGAGCACTGTTCGATCAGTGCTAGCAACGTATTCGACCAAGAAGGCTGACCAGTATATCGATCACTTCATCGTTTACGACTTTGAGGCCATTCTTAAATCTACCGTTACTCAACACGGTGAAAATACTGTCTTCACGAACGAGCACATTCCTGTGTCAGTATCAGTAGCTGATAGCTTAACGGAGGAGGAATGTTGCTTTATAGATGATGACCCAAAACTGTTGCTCACGGATATGTTTGAGTACATCGGTAGTGTATCCGTGAAGATTCGACAGTACAATGTTGATAAGTACAAGTCGCTTCTACAAAAAATCATTGATGCTTACGGCTTGACGGGTATGGCGATCCCTGGTGCTGTACTTGGTGAGACCTACAAGATGCCTGATATGGACTGTTGGATTAAGGAAGGGAAAGTATGCCTGCTTCTTCGACTTCCATAGCATTCTCGGCTTTGGTAAGCAGCGGTCTGACTATAGTAAGGTTGAACAGCAGCTTCACCAGTATTCGAGCTCAACTCGGGTCGATACGATATCAACTTGATTAAGAAAGACTTGTTTGCTGTCATCGGTACCGACAACATCAAATCTGTCATCAAGAAGCCAAGCTACATGTGCATTGCTACATCGGATACGAAAATACTCGATATTAGAAACTATGTGCCGGCTGGTACGAGCTACGATAGGTATCTTACAACGTATCTGGGTGGTTGCTAATGTGATGACAAAATTAGACGAATCTGTGGTTTGGCAAGGGTCTTTTCCTGTATGAGTACATCACCGCGTTCAATGTATTGAATCAGACTTCAATTCCACCTAATGCAGCTTTTGATAGCAAGCTCCGTGGATCAAGTATTACCGCAGATGAATATAAGCCCATACAATTTGTCGGGGGGGGGGCAGCGTCAGCTAGCAAGAACGTCCACTGATGTTCTTCAGTGCTATACAGAAAGCTTAATGAAAACACGCAATGATGAAGCTTGAGTTGCTCTTCATTGTGGAAGTGCTTTGCGAGACCCGAAATGCTTTACTTGGGCACCGTGTTATTGTCTACACGAACCACAAGAACTTATCGCTCTCGAACTTTCAGTGATAT